ATCTCACTAATGCACTATGATGGTGGTACAGGGCTTGTCCAAGGTTATAGACAATGTAAGTTCTGAGACTTAATATTTTAATTTAGGTTTCTTGATTCTGTGGGCATTAAAATAGGCAAAATCTAAAGAAAACCTGCATAATAGTTTGTTAGTGAGGCTCAGTGGCACATGCCTGTAATCCTACCTATTTATGAGTCTGAGGCAGAAGAATCCCAAGTTCAAGGCTAGTCTGGGCAACTTAGTGAGACCCTATCTCAAAATAAAAAATAAAAAGGGCTGGGGTTATAGCTCAGTGGTAGAGTCCCCTTGTGTTCAATCCCCAGTACCAAAAAAAAAAAAAAAAAAAAAGAAAAGAAAAGGTTTATTAATATTCCCCTATTCTTTATTTTTAATTTTTTTTAAAAAACCTATTTTTTATGCAGTTACTGCTCTTTATAGCACAAGAAAATGGAGGCAACTTAAAAAAATCCTAGAATTAAAATAGGGGCTTAAAACATATTTAATCTCAACATCGCTGTTAATTAGATTATTTATTTTCATAGTACTAGGGACTGAATTTTATGTGCTCTACACCTGAGCTATATTCTCAGCTCCTTTAAAAAAAATGGGACAGTATCTCACTAAACTGCTCAGACTGACCTAAACTTTGAACAGCTGAGAGTACAGGCATGTGCCACAGCCACAGAGTCTGTATGGTGACTGTTATGTTAATGAAAGTAGATTATTATTTTGAAACCAGGGTTGGCAAACTTTGCTTATAAAACAAATAAGGATAGAATATAATTAGGAAGAACCAGCCACTTCAGTGTTAACCAGTAAATATTCAGCCTTGCAACTGCTCCTCTTTGCTGTTGTCCTGTGAAAGCAGCCATAGAGAACATGTAAATGAGTGAGAATGGCTAGATTCCAGTAAAATTTTTATGGACAGTGAAGTTTGATTTTCATATAATTTGCATGTGTCATAAAATATTCTTTTGATTTTTTTTCTGCCTGCTTAAAAATATAAAGACATTCTTAGCCACTAGGCTATATCAAAACAGGTGGCAGGCTGGACTTGACCCAGTGGCCAGCCCCTGTTTTGACAGGGAACTAAAGGGAGGTGTTAACTCTTGGCTAGAACAGAATAGCTGAAAGGGCACTGATCATATGCTTTCTTCACTTGATTCTGTGGATGAAACTGAGATGCCTGGTTCTTCCCAATAATTTCATTTCATCTTGTCATTTTCCACTCCCTTTACTCAAAAGTTGTGACTTTGTTTCATTTCCAAATCTCCTAGTGAAAAATCTTTCAACAAATTGCAGTGATACTCTCAGTGTGGCCCAAAAGACTTTTGATTTGTTCCTGGTTTCCTATATGCAGATCATGTCTGTCATTTTTCCTTATGTGAAGTTCAGTTCTGCATGAATTGGTGTGTCTCCCACAGATTCTAGCCCAGAGCTGAACAGCCAACATTCATGAACGTGCACACTTGTTATTGGTGAGGAGGTAACTAGATATTTTGTCTTTGCTGATTTTAAGGGCCAAGGCGGTGTTCTTCACATCCTACTAAGCAAATGTCACTGTGTTCCTGAATATACATGCTTTTCCAGACTGGCAAAGACTGACTTTCCAGTTGGCATTCTGTCATCAAATAACATCCAGGAATGGAAATTCTTTAAAACTCATAACTCCTCATAGAAGAAACCCCGTTCCCAAGAGACTTCTGAGAGCTTTCCCTTCTAATGCAGTTAGGTCACCAAGGGAACAGTCTCTCAGAGGACATTTGGCACTTCCCTTTTGGAAACAGGGAGGGCCACAGGCCAATTTTAATATGCAGAACCTCAGAGGTTTGGTTCAAGTGTGGTCATTTCAAAGAGGCTCTTTCCCTGCTTGCTTGGGCTCCCAAGCAGGCGGAGTTATTTGAAAACTAATTCCGGATTGCTCCCTTCCTGTTGTTTTTAGACTTATTTTAGCTTTTTGGTTTTACCTTTCCCAGCTTAAGTCAATAGAGGAGGGTGTGGCCATGAACTTGGGAGGCTGGGTTCTAAGGTGGGCTGGACTTCTGCCTTCACCTTTCTCTACCCTTATTGCAGGACTCCTGCCTGGCTTGAAGCCATGTACCAACTGGTGATAGACAAAACATAGGAGAGGAAAACATCCCTCTCAGATAACTTTGTGTAGTTCCTGAGGCTTGGGATAGCTGGATTTAAAACCAAGTGCTAGTAAAATCCTGTTTTTCAAAATAAAAAATTAATGCCTACCTTTTTTTTTTTTTAATGCCTACCTTTTTTTCTAATTTTCCTCCTTAAAATAAAGTGACTATGCTGAACCTAAATGAAATGCCAAAAAGTAATAAATAGATTCTTGTTTTAAAAGTGAGTGCTTCTAAATAACCAAACTAAAATTTTAAAAATACAGGAGTTAACCCCCAAATTGCCATACTTAAATCTATAGGTGTGATAAGTTCACTTTTTATTACTGAATGTCCCATATACTCCTTGAATCCTTAAATGCCAATAATGCACTTAAATCAATCTTTTCACCAGCATTTTTCATTAATGGAAAACTTTTCACACACACAAAAAAGCCATTAGTAAAGTTAAGAGTGGTACTTTTAAAAAATTTTGTGATTCCTTAGCAAATAATATGAAGAATACATTCTGCATTTATCTAGTGTCTTCTTCATAACCTTGAGTCTTTATGCTGCTACACACTGATTTTTTTTTTCAAATGTTGACTTTTTATGGCAGAGTTTGGAGAACTGTTAAGATAATTACTTTTGATTATAATTATAGTCATGTGTCACTTAATGACAGGAATATATGCTGAGAAATGCATCACTGGGTGATTTCATCTTACAGACATCATAGAATGCACTGGCAAAAGAAAGATGGCTACAAGATCATTAGAAAATCTTGTAGACACGGTAAAATGTGGTCAGTCTTTGAACAAAGTATTGTTAATGTGGCACTTGATTGTAAATAGACTAAATCTTGATTCAATTCAACTAGTATAGCTGGACTTGGTGGCAGAATAATAAAAAATTAGCTAATATTCTATGCCAATCATGTCCTTCATTGTTTGGCTGGCTCATCATGTGAATTCTGATCAATTTATGTTTGTTAGGGCCTTGGTGCATTCAACAGAAAAAATACTATGTCCAATTAGTAAATATTCCAGGGATAATGTCTTAATTTATTTTCTGTTTTCATCACAGATTATCTGAGACTAGGTGATTTATAAAGAAAAAAAATTATTTAACACACCGTTTTGGAAACTGAGAAGTTCAAAGCCATGGCAGCAGCTTCTGGCAAAGGCTTGTCTACTGCATCACAACAGGATAGGAAAGCAGAAAGCCAACTGTGAGCATGTGCAAGAGAGACAGAGGGACACCCTCTTTTTTTTATTTTTTTTGTATCAACCTGTTCTCACAATAACTAATCCAGTTCTGAAAGAACCAGAGCTTATTGAGTGAGGATCAGCCTGGTCCTGAGAAAGCCATCTGTTTGTGAGGGCTCTGCCTCTTAGAGGTCCCACCACCTCTCAACACTGTTCTGTTAGGATTCCATTTCAATATGAGTGTTCAGGGGGACAGACAGTTTCAGATCATAGCAGATAGGAAGATGGGGACATTGTTTTTCCTAGTTCTGGTTTTCTCATATGATATGGAGGCAGCTCTGTCCATAAATTTAGTCCACCAGGACTCTGCCACCTGACTTCCTCCTTTCCTGAGAGAAGAGTTGTGCCTTAATCTAATTGGTGAGTGTGGAAGGAGTAATGGTTTACCCATCTTTTCTTTCTACCCTGTGTTCTGGGTTGGGGCTGCCAAAAGATACAGCATTAGTCAGACCCTTTTGAAGGGGCACACATTGTATCTGCAGAGGAGGCAAGTCTTACTTGGACACCGTGAGAGACTGAGTCCAGTGCTGGGGGACATGATTATGACCCCCCTTCTTTACACAGAGAAACCCTATTCTTCATGTCAGCCTCATAACTGTACAGGTAGTAATATGGATTCTCTAATCTGCTTCATTATTCTTTTAAATTTCTCAGTTGATTTAGAAGTCAGGCCAGAAAAAAAAAAATTACTATTTATAACTTTTCTCACTTTGGCTTCTGATAAAAATGACTAGTAGGGGTGCACACATTTAGAGGAATTCCAATAATCTTAACTTTAATTTTGTAGTTGGTTTGGCTTCATCATTGCTTGTTATGACTTTTTTTGTTTGTTTGTTTTTGTTTTTGTTTTTTTTGTTATGACTTTTTTAAGGATTGTTTTTAAGAATAACAATTGACAGTTCTAGAATAACCCAAGGTGATTTATATCTGCTTTTAAACCCTGAGGCATAGAAGAACAAATAACACTCTAGAATAAAAAGGTTTTCTGAAGGTCACATGAGTTCTCTTCCCTTTGCAAAGAAAGAGGGTATTTGCAAGCCCAGGTGGTATGGGCACTGAACTCTCTTGCTTTACAACCATACAATCACTTGGAAGAGACTTGCCTTCTGTCTCTCAATCAGCATATTAAAATGAAGTGGGGGTTGGGGGCACCACTAAATATATCTTCTTTTAGTACAGTTGGATAATTTTATTATTATTATTATTCAAAACTGAGAGACAAGTTTTTCAATTCTTATTTGAGGAACTGAAGAAAGACATCTAGGGTGACTAACCATCTGAGTTTCCCAGGAATGGGATGTTATCTGGGACAGGAGACTTTCATTGTCAAAATTTGGAACATCCCTGGCAAAGTGAGAACAATCTGGTTAGCCTATAAATTATACCCAGCACAGCATTTTAGCTCTTCTATCTAGCAATGTCACTAACTTAAATATTGAACTTTCTGAAAAGTCAACTCTTTGTATTGTCCATGATATAACAAGAATAACAGATTCTTGTGAGACTTGTTCACTGAGGTCTTGTGACAGTAAGGCTTAGGGCATAGCACATATGCCTAATTTTGACTAAAGTGCACTCATAGTTCTTTTCTTTAACTCATTTCCTTTTTTCTCCTTTGCAGGTGTGTGATTCAGATACTATGCTTGACCCTGCTTCCTCTGTGGAGATGGTGAAAGTTTTAGAAGAAGACCCCATGGTTGGAGGTGTTGGGGGAGACGTACAGGTGCATACAGCTTCATTTTTTAAAGAAGACACTTTTAAAAACACTTTCTTTCATCAATCCATTGAGTACATATTTATTATTCTGTGCCAGGTATTGTTCTTGGTGCTGGACCCATTAGAATGTGCCATGGGCCCATTTCAATGTCTCATTTCCTATCTAAATTGAAATGATCTATTATTTCTTTCCTTAGTCATGGGGTATCCCCTGTGTTCATAGTAACTGATAAATTATATACAACATAGCATAAATGTGCAATGAGGTCCACCATATCTCCTGGGGTCACAAGTTAATCTTTAGTGTTCTGCTAAAATCTGATATTGGAATTCACTTAGTTATAGAAGTAAAGAAATGAAAATATGGTAAAAAATATACTTCTCTACTTAAAATCTGGCCAATGTGTGGTTGATTAAAAATATAAATTGGAAAACAAAGGGAGAAAATAATTGCAAATAATCAAATGTATACTAATAAGGCAAAGAAACAGCAGGTAGGTATTCCAATATAAACCATCATTTACTACCAATAGAAAAACAATTAGTGAAACAAGTATTAGTGAAGGTAAGTTTGAAACTTGCAGAATGGAAAAATGAGTGTGTGAAGATGTGTGAAGATTAAAACAAGAGTCCTTTGAAAACATGAGGTTAGACTTTAACAAAAGATGAGACAAAAGGATAATTATCCTTGAAATTTAGATTTTGTGGTGTTGCTGTGTAACCCATTTTGTGTATGCATGTTAGTAGAAATGGTGAAAACAAATTGTTTTAGAAAGAATAAAGAAATAGACAGGTGATACAAAGGAAGCATGCAAAATCCAGATTAAAAAATGAATAATAGTGAGACAGTGAAGAACATTTAGACATATCACCAAGAAAAGGCATAATTTTCAACAGACTTTATATAAAGCATTATTTCAGGATTCAGATTTTATGTGGAGGTCAGAGTGAATTCTTTTTTTTTTTTTTTCCGGCAGCACAGTGAGTGGCCTTTATTTTTTACCATTTGTAAAAAACTGACATTTAGACTTCAAAATTTATAATACAAAATTATGGGCAGCAGTTTAAAACGTTTCAACAATGGTGAGATTCCACTTTGCTGACACAAACAAGGCTATTATTCCATGTTCAAAAAGTAGATTTGTCCCAAGACCAGAGTGAATTCTTATGTCATTGGCATTACAAGACAACGTGGAGAGCAGGGAAGGAAAACTGATAGCCAGGGATTGGATCAATTGGAAATTAACTAGAACAGGAAGGAGCAGGACTTTAAAACCTTCACACTTTAGATGGTGGGAAAGAATGTATGGAGGAAGCAGTTATGGACTGAGAACTAAAGCCTAAAAAACTCAGTTTTATATCAGAATAGCTGGAACAAGAATAAAAAACAGCATAAAGAAGACAAGAATAATGAAGTTGAAGAAAATGGTCACCATAGAAGAATACACAGATACACACACACACACACACACACACACAGGTCAAATTAATCTAGCAAAACAGAAGACAAAATTGAGTATGTCAAAAAGAGGAAGGAACCCAAGTAGGGGATAAAACAACAAATCTCATGCTAGGTAGTCATCTCAGTATGGTTCAGGTTTTCTTGACATTTTTAGCTAAAGCATACATTTATTTATTTATTATTTTATTTTCCTCCTTGCAGATTTTAAACAAGTATGATTCCTGGATCTCCTTCCTCAGCAGTGTGAGATACTGGATGGCCTTTAATATAGAGAGGGCCTGTCAGTCTTATTTTGGGTGTGTCCAGTGCATTAGTGGACCTTTGGGAATGTACAGAAACTCCTTGCTGCATGAGTTTGTGGAAGACTGGTACAATCAGGAATTTATGGGCAACCAGTGTAGTTTCGGCGATGACAGGCATCTAACGAACCGGGTGCTGAGTCTGGGCTATGCAACAAAATACACAGCTCGATCCAAGTGCCTTACTGAAACGCCTATAGAATATCTTAGATGGCTGAACCAGCAGACCCGTTGGAGCAAGTCCTACTTCCGGGAGTGGTTGTACAATGCCATGTGGTTCCACAAACATCACTTGTGGATGACCTATGAAGCCGTTATCACTGGATTCTTTCCTTTCTTTCTCATTGCCACAGTAATCCAGCTCTTCTACCGGGGTAAAATTTGGAACATCCTCCTCTTCTTGTTAACTGTCCAGCTAGTGGGTCTCATAAAATCATCTTTTGCCAGCTGCCTTAGAGGAAATATCGTCATGGTCTTTATGTCTCTCTACTCAGTTTTATACATGTCCAGTTTACTTCCTGCTAAGATGTTTGCAATTGCAACGATAAACAAAGCTGGGTGGGGCACATCTGGAAGGAAAACCATTGTTGTTAATTTCATAGGACTCATTCCAGTGTCGGTTTGGTTTACAATCCTCCTGGGTGGTGTGATTTTCACCATTTATAAGGAATCTAAAAAGCCATTTTCAGAATCCAAACAGACAGTCCTAATTGTTGGAACATTGCTCTATGCATGCTATTGGGTCATGCTTTTGACGCTGTATGTGGTTCTCATCAATAAGTGTGGCAGGCGGAAGAAGGGACAACAGTATGACATGGTGCTCGATGTATGATCTCACATTGTTGATGTTTGCAGGCACACAAGCAGACACACACACCACCTTAGTTCCTCCAGGGGCGCTACAGTAATTGTGGCATCAGATGATGCCACCAAAGGAGACATATCACTGCTGCTGCGACTTGAACAAAGACATTTTTATGGATTATTTTGATTCTGCCAAAGTAAAATGATACATCAATAAGAAGAAATTGAAATTAATCTGTTATTTCTATGAAAATGGGATGGATTCTTTGTTTATGCACTTTTTCCTTACCGTGCATCTGCCTGACAGTGTTTGCCCTATATACCTCACTAGCCATGCTTTATGTGGGTTATCATGGAAGAAAAGGATTTTGGAAACTCAAGGAAAAGTTATTTCAACCTATACGACCTAACTTATGGACTGTTTTGATAGCTAATTTTTTTAGGAAGGATTTCTCTTCTTTTTAACTCTACCAAATGAAATGCCAAAGGAAATGTTGAAGGCCGTTGGCTGTGCTGTATTTTGATATAACTGTACTGTGTTTTAAAATTTTGTATGCTGATTTTAAAAACAAATTTTGCATATTCTATATTTTACTTTTCTGCCAAAATACACCTGTTCTTCCTTTTTTTAATAAAAATAAATTCTGAAAAAATTCATACTTAAAAAAAAAAGACTTGCCCAAAATGTGAAGCTTGGTTAACTGATGTTCATGATAGAAAGAATAAAATATTTCTCTTATTCTGTACCTTTTAAAATTGAATAGTTTGTTTCTGTGAAAAGAATTTAAAATCTTCAATATTCTAACTTTTGGTGTTCAGTTATTTTAGAAAAGGCCAATATATCTGTTCCACTTTGGTAGTAAACATACACACTTATGTGTGTATCAAAAGAATTCATTGAAGAGCAAGGTCCAAGGGTAGAAATATGCAAGTTTTTCTTCAGGTAATAAAAAGGGAATGCTAGTCCTTGAAAGAAAACATGAGGCATTCAGCACTGGACAAATCATGAATATCAAAGAGGAATAATTCTAGCTATGTATTCCCAAGCCAAATAAAATGGAAAGTGGAAAAATTATCTGAATAATTTGGACAAATGCAATGCAGTTCTTCAAGGTCCTGTTTTATAACCTGAATGCACCAGTTCCTATCTGTACATTGAACATTTTCATCTATTTTTTGAATTGGCCATTTTGCGTTATGTATTAGTATGATGTTTACCCAGGTGAACTGGATAAATTGTAACAAATATAAAACGTACAGATTCAAAATTGGCAGATTAAATCTCTGTGTCCTTCTACTTTCTAGGGAAGACTTTTTTTCCCTGAATTATTTAGATAATGAATGGCCTCATCTCTCCTGTTCTTGGTCTCCATAAAAATGTCTGCACAATAGAAATGACAGCAAGATCTAATAAGTCCTATCAAGAATTGGCACATATAAAAATTGACAAACCTGATACTCTGAACTTGACCAGTTTAGTTGCTACGGGGCCTCATTTGTTCAGTTTGTCTTTTACATGATTGATCTTGAGTTGTAGTTGGTGCTGTGTACACCTGTGTTGATGCACAATCAGAACATGTGAATAGTTGAATAAAAAGCACTGTGGTGAAGCAGAGACAGTGAAGAAGATCAAGCAGTGTGCTCCTGTTTTTCTGCTTCCCTTTTATGCAGATACCTAGCACAAATATCCTAAGAAAAAAACTGCATGTTCTACCTACCGAGTATAAAAAGGTACATTCATCTTCTGAATCTCAGACTCTCACGGATTGGAGAGCCTGTGGGAAACAAACACACCATGCCAATAATTAAGACTAAAACTTGAGTTTGCCTTTTTAACTATTTATGTTCTAAGTTAAGCTTTGATAACATTCAAATGTCAAATTCTCTCATTCTTAAAAAGTTGAATTAATTGCCTGTATTTATTTTAGCAATTATTCAATGTATTTCCAGTATAGGATGTATAGTATAATTGATTTTTTGTAAATAAAATATTTTTGATAAAATCATTGCCTTTTTTCCTGAGGGAAGGGGAACTTTGTTTTCTTGATTGTAATGGTATGGATTTAAAAATGGGGTATAGAAAAAAAAAATCATGTTGGGCAAAGATAATGTTACAGAATGGCATATTTGGTAGAAATCTCTAAAATTAGTATGGTTTGGAAATCTGGAAAACTAAGAGACAAAAAGATAATCTCAATCAATGTTAGCCTTTTGTCTTTGATCTTCTTTCTCTCAACTCCCTTGAAAGTAATCCAAATTTACACAAAAGTTTGATTATAGTAACTTATAGCAGAAAAATCACAGATATGAAGAAAATGAGCAAGTTTATTATAGCATTATTTACAAATAATAACGAAACTTTAAAATAACCTAAAATTCAATAATGAAGGGGAAAATTAACTCAACTATGGCATATCCAAATAATGGAACATTGTTATCCACTGAGCACAGTGTTCTCAGAATATCTGAGGAAATCATAGAAGTGTCATCCTTAATAATAAATAACTATTCTGTATAGTAACATGCCCATTTTGTAAAAAAATAAAAAAAAATTGTTCAAAAATGGTTATCTCTAATACTGGGAATTTGACCAATTGTTATTCTGTAAACATTTGTTTGTTCTCTAAATACCATAAACATGTATGCTTTTATAATCAGAAAAAGGATAATAAATGTTTTTTAAAAGTGGGTTGGGATATCTAATAGCATTTCCTGGTTTGAGGAACTTTGATGGTAACCCATCTTGCCACTTCTCCCTCAAATTCATCTCATTTCCTAATTTTCATAACTTAGATTCTGTGAATCTTTTATTACATTGGTACTGATACATTACAAACTAGAGCCACTAAGCATAATTGCCACAGTAGATAACAGAAATATGTATAGTTCCAGTTCCAATATTGATAGTCATTTGGGGCTATAAAAGGACTGGAGATCTTTTAAGGTGGTACCTTTTAGGTTTTGCTGGCCCTATGGTCAGTTATCCGAATCCTCCTCAACTCTGCTATCTTAGCACAAAAGCATCCTTAGGCAATACGTAGACCAAAGTGTGACTGTGATCCAGTGACACTCTATTTATTGGCAGTGAAATTTGAATTTTATGATTTTTCACATTGTGGAAAATGCTCTTCTTTTGATATTTTCAAACATTTAAGAAATAAAAAGCCATTTTCTTAGCTTACCAGCATTACCAAAACATTCAATGTATCAGATTTATTCTGCAGGTCATAAATTAATGACCCCTGCTCTTTTAGGAACCTATTGACTTATTTGTACCATGGAATAACTGACACCTAATTTTTGAGCATAAACTTTACTATGTGTTAAGTGTTATCAGAAGCAGATTTTATAGATTAACTATTTTAGTCACCATATCAGTTCCAAGGGGTCCCACTATTACTGCCATTTTACAGGCGAGGAAGCAGAGTCTCAAGGAAATTTGGTAACTTCAGATAATAATACCAGTAAATTGCAGGGCTGGAGTTCAGTGTCCAGGCATCCTGACATCAAGGTTACCCTTCATACCAGTGGCTACTCACTGTGTTGTCCATAGTCCAGCAGCGTCAGCCATGTCTGGGAATTTGTTAGACATGCAAATTCATGGCCCTACTCTGGAGTTATGAATCAAAATCCAGGGGATTTAATAGTATTTCCTGGAACAGGTGCATAATTAGACCTCTAGATGACTTTTGTAGACATGTAAGTGGGAGAGGCATGGCCCTAATCCTTAATCTTATATACTTCCCCTCCAGAGTGAGGATCATTTCTAATATATCTGTCCATTCCTTTGTATTCTCCTATTAAGCTTTGCTACTTTTGGTATCATTTATGAGTATTGGCAGATAGCCAGTTTTAACTAAGTTTAATAAGTACCAGTTACGGGCAGAAATGAAGAATACTTGTTTCTATACTCAAGGAGCCTATCATTGAGTAAAAAGACTATTATCTACACAAAGATTTGATGTAAAACAAAATACAGGTATAAATAGTGGCATGAGGATATAAAAAGAAGGAATAAACAGGTACAGTTAGCTGTGTGAAGGGAGGTTTCATGATAGATAGCATGCTGTTTGGGTTGGTTCCTAAGAATGTGCCAACATGAATGGGAACTAAGGACTTTTCTGTGGAATAAATAATATGATTAAAGTGATAGACATATGATTTTAATAGGTGGTCTTTAAGCAACACTAATATTTAATTGAGGTGTGGGTTACATTTAAGCAAGTGTAAGTATAGTAAGTAAATTTGAAGGTGGACCGCAGCTGACCATACTCAACTGGGAGAAACACTAGAAATGGGTATTTACATTAATTCAGACAGATCCTGGTACATTCAGGAAGTTTTTAATGGGGTGCTTACAGTCTTGCAAAGTTGGGTACTTTAGGTGGTTTGGGCTTGAATATCCCACATGAACCATTGTATTTATGGTCATGATTTGGTCTGAGCATGTTTAGAATAAACTGGCATTGTCTTCGCATCACTTGACGGCATTTGTCACACACCTTCCCATGGCCTTGGAAGTCACACCCTCACTTCATTAATGGCATGGGTTTCTGCTCGTTACCTAGCCCATCTTTAGTTTCCTTTCTGTGAGGAGTCACAACCAGCTGGTCATGACAGCCATTTGACTGAACCTTTGCCATGTCCCTCAAATTCACCTCTCATCCTGTTAAGAAATTCTTTTGTCTCTTGACTAAATCATTGAAAGAACCTCCTGATCCCCTCTTTTCACCCCATTTCTATTTCATCCAGTGGATGCTCTGTATTTCTGTCAAAGGCCTAATTTGGGATACAAAGGTTTCACCTGGCCTCATCGTCAGCAAGTAACTTGTTGCATTGAACACTTTAGAAAGCACTCGGTGATGATGGTTAAGCTCCACCTTCCCTGGAAGTCTCCCTCCTACTGTTTTCCTTGGTCCTACTAAGTTAGATGCTGTGCTTCCTCCTGAGCACACTGTGCCTTCACCTTCGTCTTTGCTTGCATTTTCCTCTCATCTGGAAATGGATTTTCAATGGTTCCTCTATCCCTGTACCTATTGATCAGAATTCTTCTACTTCCTTCAATTCACTATCCTCTCCTTTCCCATATTCCTCAACTTAAAGGGATTTCTCTCCCCTCTTTCTTACTATATTTCATGTCCTCTCTGTTATGGGATACCCACTTTCTCCCACATTTCTAACAGATTGGGTCTGTGTGATCACGACTGGATAGACTAAAGGTTTTGGGGGGATTAAGGAGAGGTTCTCATCATTTTTTAAAAAATATCTCCATGGTAACTAGCAGAAGCAGATGATAAATAAAACTTGATGAATAAACAAATTAATGCACCCAAGAACAAGGAAGGAAAGATGGACCCAAATAATGAATCTTGGGCTGATGCTTTTGTTCCAATAAAAAGAGTCCCTTGGGCACTGTCTACCAAATTAAGAAATCCATTCATTAAGTGGATTTTAAATAGTGATTATTTGCCAGACTTTCTTGGGATTTTGGAAACTTTGTTAGGGAATTTAGTTCCTCCATTAAGCCAAACTCCCACCACATTTGGGGCCTACACGGAAGCTCTTTTCCACTTTTCCTTTCTTCTTTGTGATTGGAAAAAGTAGAAATGTGGATTCAGTGAGTGCTTGCTATATCAGTGCTCCAAGATGCTGAAAGATCATCCATGAAATAAATAAATAAGATTAGCAAACACTGAATATGTCTGATTTTTACGCTGCAGAAATTGTTAGAAATCTTCTATGT